ATCTGACATCGTTTTTAATAAATTTCTCGAGTTAATCGCAAAGTTTTATGATTTACTCGACTTTTTATTAAAAAAACGTTTTTTACGACTTACTCGGCGTTTTTTATGATTTTAACGAGAAATCTCGAATAAATCGTATAGCTTAGGCAATGTTTGGTGTTTCGTTTAACCGTTGCCGTTTTATACGATTTCCTCGAGTTCTTTCCGAGAAAACGAAGTTTTACGGTTTTTATCGTAAAACTCGAACGGTAAGTCGGATCGAGATGGAACGAGAGATATTTCGGCCGTGGTTTAGAATGCGACCTTGTCGAAAGACGTAAGTTTCGAATCGGGAATATGGGAAATCGAGACGCGGAGTGTCCGGGACGTCTCTAGTTCGCCCATCGGCGTACTAAGCCGGTCCCGGCTTAGTATGCCGATGGGTGAACTAAAGAGTGACTCTTAGTACGCCCATCGGCGAACTAAGCCGGGCCTGGCTTAGTTCGCCGATGGGCGAACTAGAGAGTGTTTCTTAGTTCGCCCATCGGCGAACTAAGCCGGGTCCGGCTTAGTTCGCCGATGGGCGAACTAGTTGCGACTAGTTCGTGTTTTACGGCTTTTTTGGTTTTTTGCGGTTTTGTAAAACGATTCTCGAGTTTTATAAAACGATCTTCGGATTTCATAAAACGACTTTTGAGTTTTATAAAAACGATTTCTCGAGTTTTATAAAACGATTCTCGAGTTTTATAAAACGGTTTCTCGAGTTTTATAAAGCGATTTCTCGAGTTTTATAAAGCGATTCTCGAGCTTTATAAAACGATTTTCGAGTTTTATAAAACGGTTTCTCGAGTTTTATAAAACGATTTCTCGAGTTTTATAAAGCGATTCTCGAGCTTTATAAAACGATTTTCGAGTTTTATACAACGGTTTCTCGAGTTTTATAAAGCGATTTCTCGAGTTTTATAAAACCACTCTCAAGTTTTATAAAACGATTCTCGAGTTTTATAAAACGATTCTCGAGTTTTATAAAATGATCCTCGAGTTTTATAGAACGATTCTCGAGTTTTATAAAATGATTCTCGAGTTTTATAAAACGATTCTCGAGTTTTATAAAACGGTCCTCGAGCTTTATAAAACGATTTTTCGAGTTTTATAAAACGATTCTCGAGCTTTATAAAACGATTTCTCGAGTTTTATAAAACGATTCTCGAGCTTTATAAAACGATTTCTCGAGTTTTATAAAACGATTCTCGAGCTTTATAAAACGATTTCTCGAGTTTTATAAAACGATTTTTCGAGTTTTATAAAACGATTCTCGAGCTTTATAAAACTGTTCTTTTTGTATTCTTGCGGAAAGTTTTGGCTATTAATTCCGTCGTACCGATTTTGACCCCAACAATGCCACTATATCGGTCGACATGGCTGTCGCTACGTCGATCGATATTGCATCCAGTGAGTGATAGAGGTAAGTTTGAATGGGGTATCTATTCTTCATTAAATTAACTTAGACTTAGGGGATTTGCCAAGCTATCGGTTGTCCAAATTGACCCTAATATCAGAGGTAAGGGTGATCAATCCTTGGCCTTAGCATTCATTGATAACTAGATTGAGAACTATATTTTAAACACCCTAATAATGGTTCTATTCAATGTATGAGTCAACCTTATTGAGAAACCTAAATCTAACAAGAAAGACTACTCAAACATATTCATGAGAGACAAAGTCATGATGGTCTGAATAATACTTTAAGATAATAATAAAAAGATACAATAAGTAAGAAGGGAGTTCAAGATCTTCTCTGTAATTGTAGTTTCAGATCTCTCTCTCTCCATCAAAACTCTTCTCAAAAGATAGCTAGATGCTTCTCCTTATTAGGTCTAAAAGGTCTCCAAGATTGTCTACCTAAACTAATACAAAACCCTCTTAATATAGCCTAACAGGCGGCCAGGGACTTAGTGTGTAAATTATTAAAAAATCTTGTGAAGCAATTAGGGCTTCTAATCTTTATTTAATCGCTTGGATGAATTATGTATCGATCGACGCATAACAGTATTATCGATCGATACGAGTAATCATCTATCGGTCGATTGCTCTCAACTTGCATCGGTCGATAGCTCTCAACTTGCATCGGTCGATAGCTTAAACATCGTTTTGCTTATATCTTCATATAGTCTCCATTTTAGCTCCAAAATGCATGTTTTACACCAGTGAGTACCTGAATCTGTAAAAGCTCTAAAAAGACACTAAAAGTATCATTTTGTTTCCAAAAACATATATAAATCATGGCTGAAAATGGGTAAAATCCATGATATATCAAGTAGACAAGCCGAATCAGATGAGTCAGCTACATGCCATCAGTTTATGCAACGTCAGTAATAAGATAATTTCTAAGGTCTTATGCCAGAGGCTAAAGAAGGTTCTACCAGATCTGATCTCAGAAACCCAGTCAGCCTTTGTTCCTGGGAGACAGATATCTAACAACATTATCATTGTCCAGGAAATATTTCATGCTCTGAGAACCAAACCGAGTGGACGTAACAAGAGAATGGCGTACGATAGAATGGAGTGGTCCTTCATCGAGGTTACCATGAGGAAGATGTTTTTTTCAGAATTTTGGATATCCTAGATAATGCGTTGTGTAACAACAGTTAAGTATAAGGTCCTAATGAATGGGCATCCACGAGGAAATATTGTCCCGGAGAGAGGTCTAAGGCAGGGGGATCCTCTGTCCCCTTTCATTTTTATTCTATGCACGGAAGCGCTCGTTAGCCTTCTAAATCATGCAGAGAATCAAGGGAACATAACGGGGATGCGCATCACGCGTGCGTGTCCTTCGGTGTCTCACCTTCTCTTTGCTGATGATAGCCTGTTCTTTTGTAAGGCGGAGCCCCGTTAATGTGAAGAACTAATGAAATTGGTCAGGAAATATTGACAAGCCTGAGGACAATGTATTAATTTTGATAAATCATCTCTACTCTTTGGAAAGAGAATCGGACAGTATGTTAGACAAGAGATTAAAGACACACTTGGGATTCAGAATGAAGCAGGGATGGAGACATGCTTAGGAATCCTAGAGGATATTAGTGGCTCTAAGTGTAAACTTTTTGCCTTCCTAAAGGACAAGCTAAGGAATAGAGTCAATGGATGGACGGGTAGATGGTTATCAAAAGGTGGCAAGGAAGTAATGACTAAGTCGATCCTGATACACTCCCAACTTATGTGATGTCTTGCTTTCTACTCCCTTTCGAGATTTGTGATGCATTAGCTAGTGCCATTGCACAGTTTTGGTGGAGTTCGAACCCTCCGAAGAGAGGTACACACTAGTCGACTTGGGATAAATTATGCTTATCAAAAGAAGAAGGAGGGATTGGGTTCAGAATGATTCACCAGTTTAACCTAGCATTGTTAGCAAAGCAGCTATGAAGACTGGTCCAGTACCCTGATTCTCTGGTAGCTCGAGTTTTGAGAGGCCGATACTACCGTTTGAGCACGCCTTTGCGGCAGCTTACTGCCAATAGCCCATCGTATGTGTGGAGAAGCATATCGGCGGCTAGAGAACTACTGTTGCTGGAAATTAGACAGAAAATACATTTGGGTTATAAGGTGAAAGTATGGGAGGATCCATGTTGCTGGAAATTAGACAGAAAAACATTTTGGTTATGAGGTGAAAGTATGGGAGGATCCATGGATCCTACCATTCCAGCCAGATCAGCGTCCCCATCTGCACCGGTTTTGCACCCGAACATGAGATGAGCGATCTTATCAATCAAGAAACTAAATCATGGGATATGAGCCGGCTGGCGAACTACGTGGATGATGCTGATATACCACTTATAAGGAGCATAGCCATTAGCGCAACACATCGCAGAGATACATATTGCTGGAGCTATACAAGAATGATCAATACACTCTCAAATCTGGATATTGGGTTGCACAGAATGTATTGATGAAGGAAGAGGAAGCTGTAGTTTGTGAACCTAGCATCACAAAACTCCAAGCACATGCTTTGAAGGTTAAGGCGCCCCAATAGATATGCCATCTTATGTGGCAAATAATAACATGTCATGTGGCGGTTACAAGTACTTTGAACCATAGACATATGAGATGTGATAACCACTGTCCAAGATGTGGGGACCCAGATGAGTCAGTTACACATGCAATATTTCAGTGTCCACTTGCATTGCAAGTATGGGCCCTATCATCTACGCCTACAAGATCTTCTTTGTTTCCACTTCAGAGCACTTATGCGAATACGGACTACCTCTTTTGGAGAAAAAATGCTATAATGGAACCAGAATTGGACAGGGATCCTTATCCCTGGCTAATATGGTATATTAGGAAGGCTCGGAACGTTAAGTTGTTTAGAGGAATTGATAGAACTGCGGATATGTTATAATTACATGTATGTCAGCTTTACTAAAGGTTAGTCGCATCCTAGACAGAGAGCCAAAAATCTAACTGAGCATGATAAGGGAAATTATGAATCACAACAGACTATTGCTATGCATGCGACCAATCCATAGAGCACAAGTTCGCTGAGCTTACCCTATTCTGCATATCATGTTTCTCGGCGGTTGCTGTTGTTTTCATGACAACGATGTTAAATGAGATCTTTCTCCCATTCATCAAAGGCTTTGTCAAGAAGTTGTTGACCACTCTGTAATTACCCAAGATCAAGATCGGTAAGCTCTCACAAAGCTCTTGCGAAGAGTCTTTTCTGCAAGAGATCATTGTTAAAGAAGCTGAGAGTTGATCAAGGACTAAGACTACCTCTGGAAGAGCTTTGAATAGATCTCCTTCTTATCCATATCATACTCATCTATGTGATGGCTCATGGAAACTGTTGTTCTGAAACCAAAAAGAACCGCAATGAGAATCGAAGACGACAAAAAATAGAACATAGTTCGGATATCTGAGACAACAAAGCACATATATTTTAACTTTTCAGGAGTGGATTTGTCCACGAAAGGTTTCATAGAATATTTTTCTCTTTCTTATCAGTGGTGGAGATATGTGAGACTCGAGAGATGAAGCGTTTATAAAGAAGAGAAAGAAAGGGAGTTCAAATGAATTCATTAAAAAGTGAGTAAAGAACACTATTGAGTTGATAGGAGAGGAGGCTTGGTAACGGATATTGTAGACAGAGGAAACAGGAAAGACAAAGTTGAGGGATGGGGTTGATCGTTGATTAGAGTCTCTGAAGCGGGCTATAACTATATCCGCCCAAATAAGGCCTGCAACTTGACTTAAAGAAACATGGGTCGTAACCTAATCTGAAGTGGGTTTCAACATGACTTAATGACTAAAGCTGTTCTAACCTGGCAAAACAGAGAACTCCCATTGGATGAATTTTATAAATGACGTGGACATCCTAGCTGATGATTATATCGCCCTTTTAGTATTAGAAGATTGACAACACTTTCTTTAGGATTGCTTTAATTTCAGTGCTAGGTTGAATCATCAAATCTGTCAAAGCATGAAGGAAACAGTAAAAGAAGAGATAGGATATATGTAACGACCCGCTCTAAGAGTATTTTATTTTTGGAGTTATATGTTCGAAGAGAGGTTCGATTGATTGTAAGGGTATAATATTTTTCTAAGTGTTGGAACACTGTTTCAATATAAAAGGAATAAGAAGTTGATTTTTCTCTAAATATCAAATGTTCTATGTAACCAAAATGTTTTGAACTGCAAGTCCAACTAAAAAAAGTTTGGACAAAGGGTAACACTGTTGGTGTCAAAATCGGTCACGACGGAATCAATGGCAAAAAGTCTCCGCAATAATATAAAAGAAATCGTTTTATAAAACTCGAAGAATCGGTTTATGAAACTCGAAGAATCGGTTTATGAAACTCAAAGAATTGTTTTATAAAAATCGAGAATCGTTTTATAAAACTCGTAAAATCATTTTATAAAACTCGAAGAAACGTTTTATAAAACTCGAGAATCGTTTTATAAAACTCGAGAATCGTTTTATAAAACTCGAGAATCGTTTTATAAAACTCGAGAATCGTTTTATAAAACTCGAAGAATCGTTTTATAAAACTCGAAGAATCGTTTTATAAAACTCGAGAAACGTTTTATAAGACTTGAGAATCGTTTTATACGACTCGAAGAGTCGTTTTATAAAACTCGAAGAATCGTTTTATAAAACTCGAATAATTGTTTTATAAAGCTCGAGAATCGTTTTATAAAACTCGAAGAATCGTTTTATAAAAGTCGGAGAATCCACGGAAAACTCGGAAGATCGTTATCTCGAAAAAGCGAAACAAACGTCGATTACACGATCGTCCGAATTAAGCACAAAACCGCAAAAAATCGAAACCACCGTAAAACGCGAACTAGTCTCATCCCGACTAGTTCGCCGTTGGGCGAACTAAAAGCTTCCCGACTAGTTCGCCTAACGGCGAACTAAGCCAAGCCAGCTTAGTTTGCCGTTGGGCGAACTAAAAGCTTCCCGACTAGTTCGCCGTTGGGCGAACTAGAAGCTTCCCAAGAGGCGCTGACTTTGCCCCAAGGGTTCTTTTCGCCTACCTCGGCAAACGGCGACCTGACCAAGCTAAATTAACTCGCCGTACGTCGAGCCGGCCATCCCGAGCCTCGATCTCCCACATCCTTGATTCAAGGCACACGTCCTTCGACAAGATTGTATTCCGAATCACGGTCAAAATGTCTCCCGTTTCGTCTCGATCTGTCCTATAGTTCGAGTTTTACGATAAAAACCGTAAAACTTTGTTTTCTCGAAAAGAACTCTAGGAAATCGTATAAACGGCAACGGTTAAACGAAACACCGAATATTGCCTAAACTATACGATTTATTCGAGATTTTTCGTAAAAATCGTACAAAACACGTTTTCAATAAAACCCCGAGTAATCGTAGAAAACGGCAACGATTAATCGAAACATCGAACATTTCCTAGCTTTACGATTAACTCGAGAAACCTATCTAAAAAACGTCATCGTATCAGGAAACGATCTCGTCTAAAGTCGTAAAACGGATTTATCGCAAAACGGCTCGGAAAGTCCTAAAACGCGATAAAAGCCACTCGCGACTTTAAAACGAAATCCAACCCGAAGATACAACGACGTTTTGGCGATTTACTCACAGAAAGAAAATAAATGTCAAACTTGAAGATAAATGTCAAGTTTGAGGATAAATAGAAGATTTCCACGGGAAAAAAGGAAAGATCGAGATAAATAGAAGATTCCCGATAAACTCGAATCTGGGCGAAATGGAAAGACTAAACCGCCTAGGAAAGGAGTATATAAGCAAGAGGCATAGGGTAGAAGCAAAGGGACGAATTTCAGAGATCTCATCTGAGACCTTTACAACTTTTCTAGACTTAGAATTTTCCGCACTTAGAAACTTAAGCTTTTTCTCGACAAGTTCGGTTTCTATGACTGGCGCTCAATTACTAGACAAACTCGCCTAGGCGGTTCGATCTCTGGTCCAAATCTATCAACTGAACTACGTTCAACATGATCCTCGAAAGGGGTATGTAGGCAGCCTTTCATAAGGTTCAGTCCGAAATCAATCAAATCCTTTTTCTGATCTTTTTCCGTCTTTTGTTATCGAGCTGCGACTCAATTAGGTTTAAGGTTTTTATGTTGATAACAAGCTGACGGCCCTGCGGCCAAAGCCTTTGTAAACCCTTGTAATGATCGCAACGCTCTTACGCGAAATCAAAATAAGATCTACTTTTTCTCTAAATTTGTTTTATTACGTTTTTCATATTTTCCCGCATTTATTTGGTTACTTGTCGTTGGCTTTCGCAGAGATCCGGTTCCTCTGGAAAATTAGAGTTTTCCTAAGTTTCCTTATTTAACGTAAATCGACAAGTGTATAATATTATGACTAGGTTACGAATACGTCCTGTGGACGTAATAATACGACTACTTTACGACTAATTGTGCATTACAACTAGCGAATAACGACCAATGGGTTTTCGATGTTAATTGGTCGTAAAAGGCATATTACGACCAATTAACAACCAATATTGAAGTCGTTAGACACCTGTTTTCTTGTAGTGTCTTCTTTCAGCTTCTCCTGCTCAATATCTAGGATGTCATCAACCTGGTGCTTCTCACTTTCCACAGCTTTCTTTTTGACCAAAGCTTCTTGCTTCACAGCTTCTACAGTATGATAATCTTGGGTGCGTAGCATCTGAAAATGGCTATCTAAGGTTTCTAACCTTCCATTCCAATCATTGAAGAAAAAATCCAATTTCAGATTTAAACGCTCAGTCATCTCTTGCTGTTGTTTCAAAAGCTTCTCTAGCATAAATTCCATCTCACCTGCATCTTGGTATGTAGCCTGTTGCACCCATGCGACTTCATGTACAGAACCAATCCCAGCCTCAACATTCTTGTCAATATCCTTTGCAGCTGATTTGACCCTGTGTATATCCAGATTTGTGACACTGTTGCTAGACACCATGTTCTCAATCAGCCTCTTAGCTTCCTCTATGGTCCTTGTTTGAAAGTTTCCGTCGCTTGCAGTGTCCATCATAACACTGTATCTTACATGAACGCCCCTGTAGAACTTCTTTAATGACTGAATCTCCGTAAAACCATGATGTGGACAGTCCTTTTGGTATCCCATAAACCTCTCCCAAGAGCTTCTGAAAGCTTCTGTAGGTTCTTGAGAGAATGTCCAAATCTTATCTCTTATCTCTTCAGCCCCTGCATCATCGAAGAATTCATTAACGAATTCATTCCTAACATCATTCCTTGTAGTGAGAGATCCTGGTGGTAGACGCCTCAGCCAACGTTTAGCATCCCCAGAAAGTGAATATGTGAACAACTTGCAGATGATGTAGTCTTTCGTTGCTTCATTCTTCTGGATTCCAGACATATAGTCTTCTAGTGTCTGAATATGGTCCATGGGATTTTCATGAGGCAGACCGCAATAAGGGTGCTCACTCACATGAAGGAGGTGTTTGGGGTGTACTGGAAAATCT